AACATGGATTATGTAATAAATGATGATAAAATAACTGATGAGTTAAATAACAATTTTGCCGGATCTTTATCTTGCCTCTTGCCATCAACACATGGATGCAGCAAATATCTAAGTATAAAAAACGAAGCCACAAATGTATGGCATAAAAACACGGATGGATATTTTTATATCCTTGGACTGAGGAAGGGTTTTTTTTTCACCCCAAGATGATATTGATTCAGCATATAATTTTAAATTTCACGTACCAAAAATTCACAAATAACATTTACAGAGAAAGAGTAAACTGGGAAAAATTAATTGCAAACTGTATAACAGACTAAGAGTTATTATCTTTACTGTACAGGAACTCCTATAAATCAAAGGAAACAGCCCAGTAAAAATGAGAAAGGATACACATAGGCTTTTCACAAAAGAAGAAATACCAAATTTATGAAAATATACTAAACCCTTAATAATAAGTATGGTTACACAAATAAAACACTAATAAAGTGTGTGTGTGTGTGTGTGTGTGTGTGTGTGTGTGTGTGTTTACTCATCAAATACAAAGAATAAAAAGAAAACAGCATTGGTCGTGTGCTGAGAAATGACTATTCTTAAGCACTAGTGGTCGGAATGGAAATTGGCATAATTTCTGGAGAGGAGTTTAGTAATACATACCCCAGTTTAAAATATATACACTAATGTGGTGCCTGGGTGGCTCAGTCGGTTAAGCGTCCGACTTAAGCTCAGGTAATGATCTCACAGCTGTGGGTTAGAGCCCAATGTCGGGCTCTATGCTGACAGCTCTGAGCCTGGAGCCTGCTTCAGATTCTGTGTCTCCCTCTTTCTCTGCCCCTTCCTTGTTCGTGCTCTCTCTCTCTCTCAAAAATAAACATTAAAAACTTATAAAATATATATACTCACTCTTAGCCCAAGATTTCCAATTCAAAGAATCTATTTTTATTGTGTTAAAAGATATGCATTCTAGGGGCGCCTGGGTGGTTCAGTCGGTTGAGTTTCTGACTTCGGCTCAGGTCATGATCTCATGGTTCATGAGTTCAAGCCTGGCGTCGGACTCTGTACTGACAGCTCAGAGCCTGGAGCGTGCTTCAGATTCTGTGTCCCCGTCTCTCTCTGTCCCACCCCTGCTTGTGCTCTCTCTCTTTCAAAAATGAATAAACATAAAAAAAATTTTTTTAAAGATATGCATTCTAATATTTATGATTTTAACCATTTCTAAGTGCACAGTTCAGTGGCATTAAGTACATTCACATTGTTGTACATCCTCTGCAAATTTTTTTGTCTTCCCCAATTGAAACTCTGTATCCATTAAACACTAACTCTCCATTCTCCCTGCCCCTGCCCTTGGCAACTATGATCTACTTTCTGTCGGTAGGAATTTGACTACTCCAAGGATTTAAGAAAAGAATTGTACAAGAAACTACACACACACACACACACACACACACACACACACACACAATGTATTTATTTAAAAAAAATTAAAAAAAATTTTTTTTAACGTTTATTTATTTTTGAGACAGAGAGAGACAGAGCATGAACAGGGGAGGGGCAGAGAGAGAGGGAGACACAGAATCTGAAATAGGCTTCAGGCTCTGAGCTGTCAGCACAGAGCCCGACGCGGGGCTTGAACTCATGGACCGTGAGATCATGACCTGAGCCAAAGTCGGACGCTTAACCGATCAAGCCACCCAGGCGCCCCTAAAAAATTTTTTTAATATTTACTTATTTTTGAGAGAGAGACAGACAGATGGTGAGTGGGGGAGGGGTAGAGAGAGAAGAAAACAAAACCTGAAGCAGGCTCCAGGCTCTCAGCCCAGAGCCCGATGCGGGGCTCGAACTCATGAATGGCGAGATCATGACCTGAGCCAAAGTCGGATGCCTAACGGACGGAGCCACCCAGGCACCCCGAAGACGTATTTATTCAAAAAAATATATGCTTGGTAATAAACAAGACAGACGAAGGTACTTGTCTTATGCACAGTGTGATCTAGATAAGGTAGAACAGTAACAAACATGTAAGCAAGAACAGCATTAGATTGCTGTAAATACTATGAGGAAAAGACACAGATTCATGTGACAGTGATGGTGGAGCGTCCTTCAGATGAGGCAGTAAGGAAAAGGTGTCTCAAGCACTATTTATAATCAAAAACAAATTAGAAACATCTAAACGGCTAAGCAACATGTCTGCTAAGGCTCAGAGTCCACCTGGCCGGATGTCGGCACACGACAGTTCACTGCAGACTGTAAGAGCCTTCCTTAGAAATAACTCCGTTAATTCAGTGAGCCTTCTGTAGAGTATTTTCCCGGAGAGAAAGCATTTCCGAAATTTGGGGGTAGAAAATAATTCGGCAGTGTACAGGCTAATGCTGCTTTATTCTGAGAAGGAATGTGTAGATGACAGTTTCAAGTGCTTGATGTTCAACCCCTCCTAAAACTGTAAAAGAGCAGCAGGGCGATCAGATCAAGAGGCTGATCTACATCTTCTCTCTGTGGTTTTACTTTTGTTCTGGCAGGCTGTGCCACCCTGGAAAAAAATTACAGTGTGTGCACGGGAAACATATTCTTCCCTCTTTCTTGACTAACTGACATGCTGGAGAGCAGGCGTGAGTAAGGGGCAATGGCATTGGTTGTGCTATAGTCCAAATACAGGGAACAATTTAGCCAAGGGCTTGGCCTACTCTTAGCCTAAGGCAGGAAATTCAAGAGTAATATAACACTTTGCCGTTAAGTAATACCGCTGGAATAAAAGCATGTTTGGGATGACTTTGGGCATTACCTTGGAATTTCTGTTTCATTTGCTTCCAGAAAGAACCTTTTTTTCCCGCCTAAAGTTCTTGTATTTCAGAATTTTTTGTAGCTGTATAAAGATGATGCATACAAACTGGCCTTGACTTAAAGCTGTATGTCATAAGAGCAGCTGAAGAAAACACGCAGGATCTCAGTTTTGACCACAAGACCCTAGGGCAGCAGCTTTGTCTACAAGTCACAGGTCAGAGACCTCACTCTACTATTTATTAGCTGTGTGATCTTGGGCGGATTATTTCAGCCCTGATTCTGTAAAAGAGGAGTGATGGTAGTACTTACTCAGAGTGTGTTCGTGAAGGTAAGATGCAGAACGTGTAGGGCCCAGTGCTGGCACACAATACGGCTTTCTCCTTTGTGCCTCGGCTTCATCACGGAGTCTGGCATTACTGACACACAGTCAAAAAAGACTAACATGGAAAACCAAAATTTATTTTTGTTGGAACAACTTGGGACACGGTCGGACCGATTCTCCCTGTTGGGTTTTGAGCCATACTCCTCCCATGCGCCGACTTGCAGCATGAATTGAAGCCCTATCTTCAGCTTCAAAGGGACTTAGATTAACCGGAGCATCACTAGATAACTTGAAACAGACAGTGCAGGAGACTCAGACCCACAGGGGAAACTACGAAAGGATCTGGAGATGTTTTCTCTGGGAGAAGATTGAGGGGACATGAGCCTTGCCTCCAAATATTTGAAGGGTAGCATCATGCGGAAGAGAGACTAGATTTATTCTGCATGACTCTGTTAGTCTCCACGAAGACAGACTCCCGTTTTATATATGGGAAAAGTTTATTAAAAAAAAAAGTTGTCAAGGAAAGATGCTATATTCTTTTTTTTTTTTTTTAATGTTTTTAATCTTTATTTATTTTTGAGAGACAAGAGAGACAGAGCGCAAGCAGGGGGGAGCAGACAGAGAGGGAGACACAGAATCCGAAGCAGGCTCCAGGCTCCGAGTTGTCCGCACGGAGCCTGATGCCGGGCTCAAACTCACGAACAGTGAGATCATGACCTGAGCCTAAGACGCCCAACCGACTGAGCCACCCAGGCGCCCCCGAGAGATGCTATCTTCTAAGGAAGGGAGTTCTACAGAGATTCTATCACAAAATAGCTAATCACTCCCTGGGAATTGTGCACGGAATTCTGTAACAGGCAAGAGCTAGGTGAGGTGCCCTCTAGGGTTCTTTCCCAGGTCAGGGAGGCTGTAATTCAAATAGTTACCTAAGTGCAGCATTTTGCACAGCAACATCAAGAACAGCCATGGCGACGTGTAAGGCACATACAGGCGCACACAGATTGTGCCTATGTGTGAACTGTAACCTTCTGAAACAAAAGAATTTCATGCCACATTGAAAAAAAGGCTTTTTTGAGGGCTAGAAATGAAAATGTTCATCCTTTAGACTAGCGTATCATATTTTATAGGTTCATGCTGTAGACACAGGGGCCAAATGAAATGAACCAAGATCGTAGGCATTAAGTTACACTTTAATTTTATCTTTTTTTCTCCTGTGATTTTGACACGAGTGATTTAAAATGAACCTGGACCTTTGACCTACTCCTTTGGGGTTTCTTCCCCCCGCCCCCCCCCATTCACCTGCAAACCTTTGCTGATCTTTGCATAGAGCTTTGGTCAACTGCTTTTAACAGCTAAACATTAAAGCCACTGAGAGCATAAACAGGAAGCTGGTGTTTAGGTGGGAGTTCCTAGGAATTTTATACTACTGACCACAGAGGCCAAGAGAGAAAGGAAATAGGAAAAACAGTGTAAATACCTGGGTGACTAATGACTTTGCGCAGCTTAGCTGGCTTTTCTGAACATTTAAGTCTCTTCTGGGGGAAACACCCTGAAAAATTTTCAGGACCCTGCGTGACATCGAAGGGGCAGATGTATGAGTGTTTACTGCAGGCGGTTGGTTTTGTTCACCGACTACCGGGCAGAGAGATTTTCTGCCGATCTCTCCAAGCGATGGACTCCATTTGCATGCGTGGTGCAGACATTTTGCCGAGCACCGGGGTTCCCAGGCCTCCGATTGTAAAGGATTGTTAAGGCCACCCCTTCCCTCGTTCACATGGATAGCGCCTAAGAGGATTTAGAATCAAGTGGGCACATTTGCACGGCCTTGTTCTGAAGAGGCAGCTGGAGCGCGGGCCCGCCGGCCTGGCGCAGCCAACCGCGGGTCCCGGGGGACCGCATTGTCCTCCGAGGGGCCGCCACGGGGGCTCCATTGTGCGCGGAGCAGGCCTTTTTCTCCTGCCCTCTGTCTCCCCCGGGCTTCCTCCCCCGCCCCCCCCCCCCACGCAGACTTTTCTCTCAAGCTGCCCGGATCCCCCTGCTGCCGCATTTCCAATGCAGAGGAGCGGGCAGGGCTTCGGGCTGGCCATCTGCACGCGGAGATTGACAGCGGCCCCGGAAGGTCAGTGCCTCAACGATTTCTGTCTGAACAGCAGGCCACCCAGGCCTCCCGAGCAAAACAGGGACATCTGCTCCCCTTAATTTAGAACACTGGTTCCAATTTCACCGGAGCCCCCTGCTTAACGCCTCGCCTCGGCTCCGGGGGAGGGGTCGGGGAGGGGCAGAGCAGACGCGCCGCCCGTCCCCGACTCCCCCCCGCTCCCGGGCAGAGCAGCTGAGCCGGCGGGGGCGGGGGGCGGGGGGCGGTCACTCACGTGATCCGGGTGACGTCGTGCGGGGGTGGGGGCGGGCCGGCGGATAGGCGCGCGCTGCTCCCCCTGAGCGCCCGACGCCCGCTTTCGTCCCGGGTCTGCGGAGGCGCGGGCTGCGCCGCCCGGAGCATTGGAGGTGGGCGGCCTGGAGGGCGGCGATCCCGCTCGGTTACGAAGGGTCGGGCGGCCCCGGGGTCCCTCTCCTCGGGCAGCCGGAGTTTGGGTCGTCTCAGCCTTGCTGGGAGGAACACGTGAAGGGGCAGGAAAGTTTACTGCAACTAGAGTGAGAAATCCAGCTCAGCCCTTCCGTGGGCAGGACTCTGGGCTGGCAGCTTTAAAGGCAGCCTTCAGTGGGCAAGGCCCAGATCCTGCGTGGACAGTTGACATCGGAACTCGTCCTGCCTTTTGTGCTTCACAGTGGGTGAAAGAAAGCAAGCCCTGCATTTCTGAGTTTCCACCACTAAATCATAAGCTCCTGGAACACAGACACTGCATCTTCTGCGTTACTGTGGCTGCAGGTCCTAACACAAATGTTTGGAGACTAAATTAACGTGTGAAGTGGAGGTGGACCTGTGAGCCCTGAGTATAACGGTTTCTCTTTGTGTATGACAAAAAACGAGACTTGGTGGAGAATGAACCTGTGCATACAGCTAGGTTATTATTAGTGAATTACTTTCCTCTTTTCTTCCCTTTCATTCTTTGACAAGCGTCTTACTGTGCTCTGTATTGCGGGATAGCAGGCAACCGGCTGGGGATATGAAGAAACAAGACCCGGGGGTCCTCAGATGTGGCCGCTCTGTGAGGCGGGCCGGGTGCAAGGAAACAGCTAACCAGGACTCTGGGTGTTAAGTGCAATAGTTGGATTCCTCGATCGAACCTCCAGAGAGAGAAGGAGGTCTAAGTTGAGTCTGGAAGGGTGAGCAGAAGCTTCCTAGGAGAAGGGCCCTTTATCCACACAAGTCCCTCTGCGTGGATTTCCCCCTAACCCTGTTTACCTCCTGCCCATTCTTCAGGCCTCAGGTGAAATGTCACTTCCTTGGTGCCTGTACAACCAACATAAGGTTGTCCTATTAAGCGATCCTGTGGCATGTCGCACTTCTCAAGACATGCACAGCTGGACAAAGTTTATCCTCTCTTTCCAACTGTGAGCTTCTTGAGGCTGAAACTGGCCTGTTCATGGGTACAGTCTACATACATATCCAACACAGTGCCTGCCCCCACCACGTTCCCTAAGTATTTGGTGAACCCATGAGTAATCAGGCTTTTTTAAGTTAAGGACAAAGCATTCATGCATTTTCTGTTTTGGAGGTGAGGGCAAACTGTGGGCCCTCCTCCACTCTGAGTCCCACGGGTACAACATGGAAACAGAATGACCTTTTAGAATTTATTATTTTGTGGTATCCCCGCAGTGCAGTGATTTCAAAACTCTCTTCTACAGAATCAGTGTGAGGTTGCTGCCCGCCCCCCGCCCCCCCGCCCCAAGAGAGATACCATCATGAAGCAAGTCTGGGGAAGACAGGGTTGCATAGAGCCTTTAAGGAGCTCCTGCACAGCGTCCTGACCCAGACTGCTGGTTTTCAAGGAGCGTCTAGTAACGTTTAGAAGCTGGCTGATGTGGATGAAGGGTAGTGGTAACTTTGCTGCACCATTTTCCCCGACTTCTCCCAGGCCCTGGAAGGTAGAAGGAGCTGCTGTGGGGAGAGCTAACCAAGATTGATTTGCCAGCATGAAGGCTGTCTCCTTCCGCCTGGTTCCTTTGTTACACCTTGGACAAACTTGTTCCTTGTGTTTTGACCTTATCGAGAGAACAAGGGCGGAGATGGAGAGGCATTGGTGACATAGGACTGTCTGAGCTACAGTGCAGCCCTATGACATCGTAGCTGTGTGATTTTGAGGCAGTCTCTTGCCTCTCTGTACCTCAGACACTTCCGTTTGTGACCAGAAATAGTGGTACCTAATTTACAATGTTGTTAAGGTTTTAAAAGCTCTCATACGCGTTTAGACTTTTCATGATGGATATAAATTTTATTTAACTGCTGATAATTAATACATTAAAAATTAAATATCTAACCTTTACTAGGTTAATTTAACTAATTAAGTCTCCTGTTAGTGGAGCAGGATCACAGAGGACTATGGCCTAAGGGAGGAATTTTTCTCTGCTCGCTGCCTTCTTAGCTCAAGTGAGGCATTCTGGGTGTTCGTTACTTTTCCAGCCAGAAGGATTACAGGTCTTTAACGGCATTTGCTGAGCTCTCCCTCTAAGTAAACTTAAGTTGTGATTTCATTATATTGTATTCTCAGAGAGGAGTGTAGCAGCTGTACATCAAAATTCAAAAGTTTTGCCTACTTTCGATTTTCCAGGACTGACTTCATAGCCAAGTGTTAAGTTCCTCAGCAACAGGATTGTGATCCAGAAGTCCAAATTATTTTGAATAGAAATCTGCTTACAATGAAAGAGTGAATGCATTCCTGTCTTGTTTGCTGGAGCTTACTTTGACCACGGAAAAAATCGATATTGGCGTCTCAGAGAGGAAAAAGTTTCAGGGCCTGTGTGTTAGACCACAGTGTGAAAATTCACATTGTTTTAACATTGCGCTTAATGTTAAACATTGCACTTTCATGCTTTCCCGGCATAAAAGAAAGCTGCTTCTGGAAATTCAAAGGTACTCTGAAAGCGAACGTAGAAATGATTTCTTACCTGTATGTATAATATCGACAGTTTTACTCCAAGTCTTTATTTTCTGTGTAGAACATTGACTTGGGTAGAGTTTGCTAGACTAGATGTTTGGAGTGAATCTGTTTTCAGATATAATCTTTGACGCATTCATGAAAGCTTTATACTTTGAAGCAGGTAACAAAGGACATACTTCTTAAAATGCGTATTTATTTATTTTGAGAGCAAAAGCGTGAGCAGAGGAGGGGCAGAGAGAGAGGGAAAGAGAGAATCCCAAGCAGGCTCCGCACTTTCGGCCCAGAGCCTGATTCAGGACTCAGTCTCACGAACGTCAGGATTATGACCTGAGCGCAAATCAAGAGTCGGCCAACTGAGCCATCCCAGGCATCCCAGGACATACTTCTTAAAGGTTGCCTCTATTCGTGGATCGAATCTCCATGCCCAGAATGGTACTTGGACCAAATATGCTGATATCACTTAAATCTTACAGGGGGTCACTGCTGAGGGATCAGAAATGTGCTGAACATCAAAAGATTCTCTCTAAAAAGAAGCTTTAAAAGCAACATCTAGTTTTAGACGTGAAGTGTGCCCTGTGCACCTCTTGGGTACCACTTCTCACCTTTGGGCACCCCCTGCCCTTTATTCCAGCTGTTGATTCAGGCTCTGAGCAGCTTCCTGTAGGTGCAGCCTGACAGGGCCTTGCCTCTTGCCCAGCCTCACACCTCTGCTGGACATTTGCCACTGGCCCCGGAGGTGCTCTGAGCCACTCGGGGCGTATGTGCTGACTTAAGCCCGAAACACAGTGGCATAAGTTTTCAGGGCAAACCTACGAAGCAGAAGCCCTAATGGATAAATGCTTTCCTTTCTTCCCCCAAGATGGACCGTCCCGAGATGTCTTTCCTGCAACTCAGGCAGGACACACAGAGCCAGCAACCGTTTGCCAGGAGCTGTGACTCGTCTTTGCATTGGTTTTCCATCCGTTTCTGCTTCATTCTTCATGTCCCTTACTCCAACTCTCTGGATCACACTCCACAATCAAGTATTTTCACTTAAGCCATTGTCTCAGGATCTGCCGTCTGAGACCCAGGCTAAGTCATTCTGACATTATGTCTTTTGGGTTTTTTGTTTGTTTGTTTGTTTGTTTGTTTGTTTACCAAAGGAAGTGATAGTGTTTACACTGGTCTTCACGCCCTCTCATCCCACCCCATCCCTCTTCTCACTGTGAGCATCTCGTCCAGTTATTTTGTGAGATGGTTAAAGGGGTTACCTCTCTCCTTCCTTTGGATACGGTGGGACTTAGTGAGAGTGAGGAATCCTGGCTGCCTTTACTTCAGCACAGCAGGACCCAGGGTGAAGTTTGCCGTCTGCATCTGGTAGCTGGTCGGCAGCTTTGGCCCCGTGCTTTCGTCGGCTAACTTTATTTATTTATTTATTTTTTAATTTTTTTTTTTCAACATTTATTTATTTTTGGGACAGAGAGAGACAGAGCATGAACGGGGGAGGGGCAGAGAGAGAGGGAGACACAGAATCAGAAACAGGCTCCAGGCTCTGAGCCATCAGCCCAGAGCCCGACGCGGGGCTCGAACTCACGGACCGCGAGATCGTGACCTGGCTGAAGTCGGACGCTTAACCGACTGCGCCACCCAGGCACCCCTCGTCGGCTAACTTTAACCTGGCTCTGTTTAATTTTTCCAATCTGTATTTTTAACTTCATCCTAAGTTTTTTATTTGTTCATTTTATCTTGCTCTATTTATGGATTTGAGGAGTAAAAATAAGCAAAGATTAGCGTGAGTAGGACTTAAAAAAAAAAAATCACAGGGCTCAAATGGCCCAGAGGCACATATAATACCCTTACCATGTGACAAAGCTTTTTGAAAGTAGCAGTGGAAAAACTTTATTGTCTCCATTTGGAGACCATTTATTGAATTTGTTTCATCACTAATAATAAGCCTCTGGATTCATGTCTGCATCCTGCTGGGCACCTGCCATAGTGGTACAGCTTTTATGGGTGCAGCGGTCAGGGGCATGCCAGGACATCACATCCGAAGTAAGACACCAGGTTTTCCATCTTGCTT